CGTAAGCTCCCACTAATTTGTACATTCGCACTAAACGTTCGAAATTAAATATTCAATTACTGTCAACACTTGGATGACTCCACCCGAACACGTTTTGAACCATTGCACACATGAAATATGTAAATCAATTTTAAGCGCAGCATATTTACTATCCAACAAATTATCTGCCACACATGAATTATTTATTATTTACGCTTAAATGATTTATATTCGATCGTATTAACATTCAGTTTTTTCGTTTCTCACTTCATTGGCCAAATTCTATTCGCGACGGCAGCCAGTGGAGGTGCAGCAATTTTTGCAGAATTTTCTGCAACAATCGCTGTGAGTGCATGGTTAAGCAACCGCAACACGTTGCAGACGAAGAGGTTGCAATCCAAAGAATGGTAAAGAAGTTTGAAAGTGTAATGCAGTTTTTTTGTGTGATTAACCACTCTAAAGGCAGAGTAAAATCTGATGGAAATTTCAGAATTAATAGATGAGTAACAGGGTTTTAGGTTCGACCGGGCTAAATATTGGATTACACTACAGCAGGGGAAAAAATCGTTGTAAATGTCTCTATTGGTTTTTATACCTTCCACCATACCAAGGAGAGTATATTAAATTTGATTAGAATACAATAATAATGAGATCTAGCAATGTCCATCTGGCTATTGAACGAAGAGGTCTTCTACTGAATGACTAATGCACGAAGACCTACAACAGGTCTCTTATAAACAGGATACCTCAAACAGGTCTTTTTTAGACCGATGACCTTTAACAGGTCTTCTATAGACCGAAGACCTCTAAGAGGTCGTCTATAGACCGGAGCTCTCTAAGAGGTCGTCTAGGTAGACGAAGACCTGTCAGAGGTTGTCTATAGACCGAATATCTCTAAGAGGTCGTCTATAGACCGAAGACCTCTAAGTGGTCGTCTATAGACCGAAGATCTCTAAGAGGTTATCTATAGGTCGAAGACGTCTGAGAGGTATTCTTTAGACCGAAGACCCCTAAGAGGTCTTCTATACACCAAAGGCTTCTAAGAGGTCTTCTGTCTACAGAAGACCTAAAACCGAAGACTCTAAAAGATCTTCTAAGGACCCAAGACTTTTTTAAGGTCTTCTTCTAACCGAATGCCTTCTTTACAGCGGAACCTTTGATGAGCTGACCGAGCCCCTTTTGATGGAAGACCTATTGAAAGTCTTCTTTAATCCGAAGACAGTTTTTGAAGGTGTTCTGTTAAGAGAAGTCCTTCTTCTGACATAAATTAATGTCTTCTATTGACCGAATTTTGAAGCGGTTCTTTATACCGAAGACCCCTAAGAGGTCTCTATACACCAAAGACTTCTAAGAGGTCTTCTGTAGACTGGAGACCTCAAAAAGACCTCTAAAACCGAAGCCTCTAACAGATCTTCTAAGGAACCAAGAATTTTTTAAAGTCTTCTTCTAAACGAATTCCTTCTTTAAAGCGGGAACATGAAGGTGTTTTGAAGGTGTTCTGTTAACAGAAGTTTATTCTATTGAGCGAATTTTGAAGGGTTCATATCGACTCAGGACCTTATGAAGGTATTTTTTTTTTTGATCTAAGCGGACTTCTATCGACGGGAGATCTTTTAAAGGTCTTCTTTTACAGGAGGCCTTTTTTGACCGAAATCTTTTGAAGGCGTTCTATCGATTCAGGACCTTTTAAATATCTGCTCTTTACTGAAGACCTCTTAATAGTCTTCGTTTGGCTGAAGACGTTTTGAATTCTTCTATTCACCGTTCAGGTTTCCTTCACAATTTTCAACCAAATTAGATGAAACTTGACAATTGGGGTTTTGGGTAGGTCTGTTCTCTCCTTGTGAAAGATGTTCGACTCAGGCCTACTAATTGGTCCCCATATGAAGCTTTTTCCGGTTTTAGGTATTATGAAGGTTTTTGCCAAAATTTCTAATTTCGTTCTTTGGCTTTAATTATTTCTTTTGGGTACAGAACATCAAAGCCGTGCCTTATCAAAATAAGAGTCTTAAGTCCTAGGTCTCTTTGGAAGAAATCCGTTTCACGAGACTTGGAGTCAGTCTAAGGCGGAAAACCTTTTCCATACTTTCGGTAATCAATGTTTACTCAAACCCCCGGATCCATTTCCTTTATATGATCAAATATACATATAAGCCGAAAAAAAGAAATTTTATGTTACATTCAGACATTCAGACATACAGACAACTCGATAAAATGTCCGGGAAAAAATTATCAAAAAATTAGGGAATTTTTTTGTTTTTATACTCTACACTACAAGGTGGTTAGAGTATTATGTCTTTGTGCATTTGTTTGTAACAGGCAAAAGGAAAAGAGATAGACCCATAGTTCCTTTTGATGATCTGCATAGAAACACATTCTGAGTCGATTTATGCATTTTTGTGAACAACAAGTTCGGATTTATTACCCGATCCAGATGAAATTTTGCACAAATCATTTCTTCGGCCCAAGGACGAACCCTATTGAAATTGGGGATAATCGGTCAAAATTTAGATATAGCTCCCATATATATCTTCGTCCGATTTGCCTTTTATTGTGCACCAAACATGTAATATCAGGCCGAATGGTATTGAATTTTGCACATACAACCAGATTAGGCCTGAAAATAAGTATGCCAAATTTCGAAATCGGTTCAGATATACCTATAGCTCCCATACATATTGTTCATCCGATTTGTTATTTTAGTTCTCCGCAGCCGTAATATGCTCTCTGTAACAACAATATTTGGGGAAATGTATCAAATGCAGCTTAGAAATACATTTGTTAAATTTTATCGAGATCGGTTCAGATTTGGATATATCTCCCATATATAATCTCGCCCGATTTACTTTTTATTGTGCACCAAACGTCTAATATTTGCCCAAATGAGATGAAATTTGGGACTTACGACCGAATTGAGTCTAGAAGCTAGTATGTCAAATTTGGTGAAGATCGGTTCAGATATAGCTATAGCTCCCATATATATTTTATATATATCATATTGTTCATATTTGTTATCCACAGCCGTAATATGCATTCCGCAACAACGATATTCAGAGAAATATAAAAAATACAGCTCAGAAATGTCTTTGCCAAATTTTACCGAGATCGATTCAGATTTGGATATAGCTCCTATATACATCAAATGGGCAATACAAGTCCGAATTTAAAAGATACAAATGCATGACGGAGTGCTTAAATATTGTGCAAATGTCCCTGGTAATATCTGGGTTGTGCTCTATGACATAATTTCAAAAGCGAAATCTTCCAAAATGGATTTGGACATAAGGGGACTTCTACCATATTGTAGTGTAGCGTAGTTGGGTATCACAAGGCTATAGCCTTTCCTAACTTTTTTTTTACACATTATGAAGTAACTCTAAAAAAAATAGATCGTGTAGTTGTAAAGAAACATTTTTGACACACCTTCCTATACATGTTGGACAAACGAGGACGAGGTCCGTTTGGACCCATCAAATTGGAAAATGTATAAAGAGATTATATTTTTCCATTAATCAAGGGGTCATGTCGGTCCATTCCTTGGAGTAGGGACTACGCTATAACAAATTCTATGTCGATTTAACAATGTCCGTCCGTGTGTCCGTCCGCCTATTCGTCTGTGGAACTCACTTTAGCTTCCGAACGAAATGAAGTAGGTTGATAAAATTTCACTCAAATGTGTATTATATCTGCAGGACTTTTGGTGTTGAAAATGTAGGTCCACGTCTTCGTATAGCCCCCATATAACGGTACCTCCCGATATTCGGAATTTTGATGATTTTATCGACATTATTTACCGGAATTGTTTCCAAATTGGTATTTGAAGCTCGTAATGGATACTACAGCCTATGACAGAAAATTGTCTGTGCTGGTCTACGTCTTCGTATAGCCCCATATTCAGTATTTTGATGATTTTAGCGACACTATTCACCGATTTTTTTTTTCAAGTTCCGCTTTTGAGTATTGTAATGACTTATGACAAAAGTTGGATATGCAGGTCCACGTCGTCGTATAGTCCCTAATATAACGGCTGAATTCGGTATTTTTAAGATTTTAACAGATTATAAATATTTTTTTTTTTTTTGAAAATTGCCAAATTCGTTCCCAATGGTGGAGGGTATTCAAAGATCGGCCCTGCCGAACTTACAGCTTTTTTACTTGTTTTTTTTTTTCTTTGTAAAGAAAGAAAAAATGTTAAAACAAAAATATAATCCTTGTATTGTTCTCTGTAAATATTTTACAATGGCCAGGAATCTTTATTCGAAAATTTCGAAGAATGTAGAAAAGGGAACCTGTCCCCTCTATTTAGGTTACTTTGGTATGTAAAATTACAAAACGCCGATACTTGTGTCTTTAATTTTTAATCTACTGGATTTGGATAAAAATTTAAAAAAATTTGAAATCATCACACAATGATATTGTTTTTCATATCCTTTGAGTTACTATCGTGCATTTTTGTTCAATTATTCCGTCTTGGATTTTAAAACAATATTTTTTTTTATTTTACATTTTTTTGTTTATTTATTTTACATTATTTTGTATAGAATATTCTTTGTGAAAAAATTATTATATTTTTAATATAGTCAAAGAAAAAGATTTTTGCTATGTTTTGTGTTTAGTCACATTTTTAAATATTCACATAAGTTTGCAGTCAAAACTTTTTATTTTTAGTATTTTTCTTGTCGAATATGAAATATTTTTTTAAATATTTCATAATTTGCAGTTTATATCTAACATTTGAGAAGATTTTTTTTCTAAATGTATATCTCTTCTGTTTATGTTCACATTTTATCCTTACATGACACAATTTAAAACAAAAACACAATTTAAAACGTTAAAAACATAACTAAAAACATTAAAAACATAACTAAAACAAAAAAAATTCTGTTTTGATTAGAATTTTTTTCAAATATCCCAACACAAAGTTCAATATTTAAAACATCACATTTCTTTATTAATTCGTCCTGAACAGAAAATTTCACCAACTTACATTTTTAGTATTCTCAAATCATTTCCACACTTACCGTTAAATGCTGGGATTATTTATCCAAAATGTAATTGACGCGATAATACAATTTATCCTCTGTCTTTTTTTTAATATTTTTAAACAAAAAATATTTGCTAGTTTTAATTTTTTTTTAAATTCCTTTCAATTAATTTTTAGTTTTTTATTTGTTCGCCAAGTCGTTTTAGAATTCCTAATTTATTTTGTTGTTATTTGGACCGAGAATACGTTCACTTAACCGCAGCACAACGCGGCGCGTTTTAATCCATCAACGTATGCCGATGCACTGAATCAGTTGGGCTGCATTACTTTGCAAATGTAGTTCGCGACCGTCCGACTCAAGTGCCTGAACTGGATGGATGTTGACTTCTTTTGATTGTTGTGTTGTGTTTTGTTGCTGTTGTTTTCTTGTCTGGTCTCGACTAAAACGAAGTTAGGTGCAATAAATGTGTGTGTGTGTATGAGCGCACAAGTACTTAAGTCGGGTTTGGTTTCGGTTTTGTGTGCTTCGACTTAGAGAGTTGTTTGGCGGAACAAGAAATTCACTTGAGAGCATTTATTAAATGTTAAGTGGAATCAGGAACAAAAGGATATTGGTCTACAGGGTGCAACAAAATCAAACGCCATAATTTTTACATTTCTTTTTTAAAATTTATTAAATGAAAGCAAACAAGTACAACTACATTAAGTTCGGCCGGGCCAAACTTTTAATACCCTCCATCTTAGGGTAAAGGGAACATTAGAGCCCATTATGACCCACATATACCAATTTTTAGACATATTCATGGGAAAATGTGCCAAAAATCATAAAAATACCGAATATCGGGAAATAAGGCTATAGGGGCTATATAAAAAACGTGGACCTATACATACAGTGTTTCGCCAAAAGAGCTAGAACCCATTAAGACCAACAAATACCAATTTCTAGACAAATCCGCAAAGAAATGTGGCAAAAACCATTAAAATACCGAATATCGGGAGGTACTGTTATATAGGGGCTATACCAAATCGTGGACCTATATATGTAATGTTTCGCCAAAGGAGGTAGAACCTATAATGACCTGCAAATACCAATTTTCAGACAAATTCGTTAAAAAATGTGACAAAAATCATCAAAATACCGAATATCGGGAGGTACCCTTATATGGGGACTATACCAAAACGTGGACCTATAATTACAATGATTCGCCACACGAACTGGGACCCATTATGACCTACAACTACCAATGTTATGACAAATTCGTGAAAAAATGTGTCAAAAGTCATCAAAATACCGAATATCGGGAGGTACCGTTATATGGGGACTATACCAAAACGTGGACCTATAATTACAATGATTCGCCACACGAACTGGGACCCATTATGACCTACAACTACCAATTTTCAGAGGAATTCGTGAAAAAATGTGGCAAAAATCATCAAAATACCGAATATCGGGAGATACCGTTATATGGGGACTATTGCAAAACGTGGACCGATATATCTCATTTTCAATACCAATCACCCTAGACACAATACAAATTGCTCTGCTAAATTTTGACGCTCTAATAATGTGGTCTGTATCGTTGTTTCAACAGAGAGACAGACAGACGGACATCGTTAAATCGACTTAGAATTTTATGCTGATTTATGGTGTCTACGACGAATATTTAAGGATGTTACAAACGGAATGACAAAGTTAATATATCCTCCTTTCCAAGGTGGGGGGTATAAAATGTCGGAAATAGCATTTTTAGAATTAGTTTAGATTTGTTCGAATTGATCACCTTTGGCACGAATTATGGCCTTCAAGCGGTTAATGCAACCGTCACATGCTGCCCGAATGTTGCTCTGCGGTATTTTGGCCCATTCCCGGCGAAGCGCTTGCTTGAGTTGATTGACACTTTGGTATTTTTTAGTACCATCCTTGCTTTCCAAAATACTCCAGACACAATAGTCCAACGTATTTAGGAACCTCATTTTGTAACCATTCTTGGTTGGCGCGTGCTGAGTGCGATGGTGCTGAGTCCTGTTGAAATGTTCAAGGTCTGCGGTCAAAATGTTTGCCTGCCCAAGGCTTTCATACACCCTCCAGAATATTTTCGCGATAATATTCGGCGTTTATTCTGCTGCCAATGTCAATTAATACGAGCGGAGAGCGACCATCGGCTGTTATGGCGGCCCACACCATCACCTTGGCCGGCGCTTGAGTTCTTGTGGCCAACCGAAGGTGCACATTTTCAGCTGACCTCTTCGGCAAGTAAACGCGAACATTTTGTGTGTTCACAAACTACTCTGCTGGACAACGAATGCATTCTCATCGGAGAAAGCCAAATTCGGCAGTTCCCCACTTTCGGCCAAGCGAAGGAACTCTTTAGCTCTTTTGAGTCTATTTTCTTTCTGTTGCGGTGTAAGTCCTTGCACTTTTTGGAATTTCAATGGCTTTACCCCGAGCTTATTTTTCAATATTTGCCGAATGGAATATTGCGATATGTTCAGCTCATGAGCCATTATTCGGCCACTGCGATGCGGATTTCGATCAAGTCGCTTCTTTACTTTTCGAACCATTTCTGTGATGTTCTGTGTTCTTCCGTCCACTTTATTGCGTCGTGCTACGCTACTAATATCACGGTAACGACGAGCTATCAACGCAATATTTGATCTAAGGATGGTAGATATCGGTTCACTCCTTCTAGTACCTCCCCCACAAAGGAAGAAAATTGCGAATAACCAAAACGCTAATAAAATGCGAAAAGGCATTCGATTCTCTTCAAAATTCTCACACATATCAATATTTCCACTAACACAAGAACTGCTGTGAAGATGGTAGATATCGGTTCCCTACTTCTGGTATCTCTCTAAAGGGGCGAAAATTTTGAATAATATGCGCTCATAAAATGCGAAATAAGCATCCGATTATCTTCAAAACTCATACATCCCAAGAATTTTTGCAACATAATAACTGGCTAAGGTACCACCCCATAAAATACACCAACAGTGACATCCATATAAATTTCAGGATTTCAGCTCCATCCCCTCAACCAATACAAAATTAAGTAGCATTTTGTTATTTTCGAATGATTTAAATACACATTTTCAAAATCACCTCCAGATTTCAACGCTAGATACCAAGAGAGACTTTTAATATCAAATTTAAGAATTCCATCTGCATTCCTTCACCCAATTGACAAAACAATCTACATCTTCCTAACCTTGACGCCCAATGTGATTCAAATTGTGTACCTTTTTTACACATTTCTGTACCACCCCCATACCTCAATTCCAGATATCAAGAGACTTCAATATCAATGTGTTCCTTCACCCAATACTTAATTTAGTACCAATTCGTACAATTGTAGTACACATTTTCGAAACCACCTCCATATCTCCAGGCTACACATGAACAGAGATCCCAATACCAAATTTTAGTTTTTAAGCGCTATGCAGGGTGAGATGAAACAACTGCAACCAACTTCAGACTGCTGTCATTTCTAAGCCACTCGTCCGACAACTGTTAAAATAATTCCAGAGAGACAGCTCATTATATTGTTTACAAGCGTACACAAGCATTTTGGTGAGAATTTTCCGGAAAAAAGTTATTCGTGATGGAATTCAAGCGTGATGCTGTGATTTCTTTATATTTGGCAGGAAAACCAAAGGTGGCGATCGTTAGATCACTCCAGCATTTAAATGTCAATAAATCGTTTGTGTCTCGTACCATCGCTTGTTACCATGATACTGGTAGCGCGGCCCGACGTCAAGGAAGTGGCCGGAAGAAGACAGCAACATCAGAAGAAATGGTTCGAAAAGTAAAGAAGCAACTTGATCAAAATCCGCATCGCAGTGGCCGAAAATGGCTCGTGAGCTGAACATATCGCAATATTCCATTCGGCAAATATCGGAAAATGAGTTACCCCGAACAGCGATTGAACTTAAACCGCAATGAAAATAAAAATCTGGGAAATTTATGCAGCTACAAAACTTTATTGATTTGCAAGAATAAAATGGTTATCGTTAGTAAAACTGTGAGTTGTTTAATGGCAACTATTAGTAGAGGTCCTCTTCATAATTGTTCTGCTCCTCGTTGTAGTCATTGGTATTGTCATTCTCCCGTTCTGTGCTGGTCAGCATCACGTCTTTTACATAATCCTTCTGTTCGATTTCTATTCTTTTTGTTTCTCGTAGATGTTCAATTTCCGCTGGTAATACAAAGCTCTCCAAGCGATTTGAGTAGGCAACATCTTCAGGTTGACAACAGAAAACTACACCCAAATTTTTATAACCGAACGTGTAGCGGACGTTTTTCAACCACTCAATAGTATGGCATATATCCGTGCAAAATATCAGATCGTTTTCCTTGTAGAACTACATAGGGAGAGAAATAGAGAGAGAGAGAGAGAGAGAGGCTGTGAGAGAAATGTGTTTAACCTAAGTCTGAGAGCACCAAAATAAGATTAGACAAAAAGAAAAAAATAAAATAAAACAGTAAGGAAAGGTCAAAAGTCGGGCGGGACCGACTATATGATACCCTACAAAAAAATATTTATTGGGGCATCAGATACACCGGACCGAGTCTCAAAAAGGGTAAAATTAGATGTAATATGAAAACATTTATATTCAAATTGGACTGATATTATGTATTTGGAGGACAATAACCATAAAATCGGATGAAGATGCACAGGGTTGTCCATATTCGACGGACCCATCTGGCAACGCCATAACTTTTGACAGAGATGTCACATCGCTTAATGACATACCGCGTTTGAAGCGTCAGTCCAAGCAGATTTTTACCATGAACCAATACACGCCACGCGAGCGCTCTGAAATAATTGAAATTTACATTCAACAGAAGAAGTCAATTGTGAAAAAAAAATGTGAGAAGTGCGCCTTCTAAGAACACCATTAAGCGTTTATACGAAAAATTTTCGACTGGTAAGGCTCTTTCTAATCCGTAGAGGCCATATAAAAGTCGACCAAGGCGATCGGCCGAGAATATCGCTGCCGTACGAGCCAGTGTTGAGAGGTCCCCAAGAACATCCCAAAAACGCCGTTCTCAGCAGTTGGGCATGGCTCGGTCCACTTTACAACGGATTATTCGCATTGATTTGCATTTGTTCCCGTACAAAATTCAATTGACGCAAAGAATGTTGCCTGCGGACAAGCCTCGTCGATTGGAATGGGCCCAAAGGTCGAATATGGGCAACCCTGTATATCGATGGTATATAAAAATCTGAACCGATCTCGATAAAATTTGGCAGAGGTATTTTCGAGTGTTATAAATCATTGCTGAGGAGTATATATATATCAAAGTCGGTGCAGATATAGTTTCTAGACTGAATTCCGTCGGAATTGCCAAAATTCAGTTCATTTGGGCTGATATTAGCCATTTGGCGCACAATAAACCTTAAATGGGGTGTATATATGGGAGCTACATCTTGATCTGAACCGATTTTGATAAAATTTAAGGCACTTATTTCTGAGCTGAATCTGATATCTGGTACCAAGGATCAATGTTGTGGAGTGCATATTACGCGTGTGAGGGACGTAAAACACCAAATCGGATGAAACATAAATATGGGAGCTATAGCTATAACTGAACCGATTTTCACCAAAATTTGAAGCACTTGCTTCTGGTATGAATTTTGTCGGAAGTGCCAAAAATTAAATCCATTTGGGTTGATATTAGCCATTTGGTGCAAAATGAACCTTATATTGGGTAAATATAAATTTCGATAACATTTCACAGAGGTATTTAAAGCTCCATAAGTTATCTGGCACTCTTGTAAAGTGCATATTACGCATGTGAGGGACGTAAAACCCCAAATCGGATCTAGCATGTATATGGGAGCTATAGCTATATCTGAACCGATTTTCTTCAAATTTGATCTTCTTGCTTCTACAATGAATTCGGTTGGATGCACCAAAAATTCTGGACTTTTTGACAGATATTGGGCATTATTTGAACAATTAAACCGAAATCGGGAGGTATATCCAAATCTGAACCGATCTTGATAAAATTTGGCAGAGGTATTTCTGGGCTGGTATCTAATATCTGGTACCAAATATCATTCTTGTGGAGTGCATATTACGCATTGTGAGACGTAAAACTCAAAATCGGATGAAACATAAATATGGGAGCTATAGCTATAACTGAACCGATTTTCACCAAAATTTGAAGCACTTGCTTCTGGTATGAATTTTGTCGGAAGTGCCAAAAATTAAATCCATTTGGGTTGATATTAGCCATTTGGTGCAAAATGAACCTTATATTGGGTAAATATAAATTTCGATAACATTTCACAGAGGTATTTAAAGCTCCATAAGTTATCTTGCACTCTTGTAAAGTGCATATTACGCATGTGAGGGACGTAAACCCCCAAATCGGATCTAGCATGTATATGGGAGCTATAGCTATATCTGAACCGATTTTCTTCAAATTTGATCTTCTTGCTTCTACAATGAATTCGGTTGGATGCACCAAAAATTCTGGACTTTTTGACAGATATTGGGCATTATTTGAACAATTAAACCGAAATCGGGAGGTATATCCAAATCTGAACCGATCTTGATAAAATTTGGCAGAGGTATTTCTGGACAGTATCTGATATTTGGTACCAAATATCAATTTTGTGGAGTGCATATTACGCATGTCAGGGACATTAACACCAAATCGGATGAAACATATATATGTGAGCTATAGCTATAACTGAACCGATTTTCACCAAAATTTGAAGCACTTGATTCTGGTATGAATTCTGTCGGAGGTGCCAAAAACTAAGTCCATTTGGGTTGATATTAGCCATTTGGTACACAATAAACCTTAAATCTGAGCCGATCTCGATAAAATTTGACAGAGGTTTTGAGCTTCATAAGTTATCTGGTATCAAATATCATTTTTGTGGGGTGCATATTAGGGGACTTAAACACCAAATCGGATGAAACCTACATTAAGGAGCTATAGCTATATCTAAACCTATTTTCTCCAAATTTTATCAACTTGCTCCTAGACCAAATTGGGTGGGATGTACCGAAATTCAGGTCATTTGGACTTATATCGGCAATTTGGTGCACAATTAACCCCAAATCGGTTGAAGATTTATATGGGAGCTATATCTACATTTGAACAGATTCTCATCACTTTCAATAGGATTCGTCCTTGGGCCAAACAAATATTGTTTGGAAATATTCATCTCAATCGGATAATAAATGCGATCTGCACTTTGTTCAAAAAAATACATTTACAGACGGACTGACTCAGAAACAGATTTCATGAAGATAACTATGGGTATATCTCGCTTCCTTCTCCATGTTGCAAATAAATGAACAAAGACATAGTATCCTTACCACTATGTAGTGTAGGGTATAACGAGAGTGAAAGGATGTAAGAGTCTCAAAAAAAAAATCTCTTATCATTTTATTATTGCTGAGCGTCATTGGATGGCAGGCGTGTGAGTAGCCAATCGTCTCTCATTAAAACTTACCTCAGCAAATGGTGAATTAACACCGATGATAACAACCGATCCTTTATCTGCACCTTTCGGTTTGAGATATTGCCAGACGTAGAGTGGTATCTGCCTCTGATTTGTGATGACTACCTCAGCCAAAGAACGATTCTTGTGGCAGTCGCTCTCGTAAATTGGTACCGAAACTGAATCCGAAACACCAGCAAATACAATATAGTCGGTGTTTGCCGCCTCAAGATGTTGACCAAATGCCTGCTCGTAAAATAACCAATTGCCCAAACGTAGCCCAGGCCACCAGGCCACATTAAATAGTCCACCAAATTCACCATCCTTGAAGTTTTGTGCCAATTTGGGATTTTGTACGATTGTATCGGGCTCGTATCTCGCAAAGTCAATCCAATGTTGGTGTTGATTATCACTGCTTGAGACAGTGCTGTAGGGAATCAAATCAAATGCACATATATATATTTTTTTTCAGTTCGGAAATTTTAAAAATTCCAAATTCTGTTTTTTACATACCCATGCAAGGGGAAATTTCCGGCAATATTCTTGATTTCAACCATGGAATGTATAAAACGTTGAAAAGACTGCAAGAAATCAAATAAATTCAGAACTAGTAAAATAAATAAACAATAACAGATAAAAAGTTTGGCCGAACCGAACTTTGAATACCCTTCACCATTTGGAACGAATTTGGAAATTTTCAAAAAATAAAATTCGTTAAAAATTCTGTTAAAATTTTAAAAATACCGAATATAGCCGTAATATTCAGGTCTCTACGACGTGAACCTACATAGGCTTTGTTTGTCATAAGCCATTACCATATTCAAATTTGAAACTTGAAATAAACGATGAATAATGTAGCTAAAATCATAAAAATACCGAATATCGGGAGGTACCGTTATAGGGGGGCTATACGAAGACCTGGACCTACATAGACAATTTTCTGTCACAGGCTGTAGCATCCATTACGCGACTTCAAATACGACATCTCAAACAATTGCAATTAGTATTGTAACTAAAATCGTCAAAAAACCGAATATAGGGAGGTACTGATATATGGGGCCTATACGAAGACCTGGACCTGCATAGACAATTTTCTGTCACACACTGTAGTTCCCATTACGAACTCTAAATACGTAATTTGAAACTACTCCGGTGAATAATGTCGCTAAAAATTATTAAAATACCGAATATTGGGAGGTACCGTTATATGGTGGCTATACGAAGACGTGGACCTGCACACACAATTTTCTGTCTTAGGCTGTAGTATGCATTAAGAACTTCGAATGCCAAATTTGAAACAATTCCGGTAAATAATGTCGCTAAAAATCATTAAAATACCGAATATTGTGAGGTACCGTTATATGGTGGCTATACGAAGACGTGGACCTGCACAGTCAACTTTCTGTCATAAGCTGTAGTATCCATTACGAACTTCAAATTCGAGATTTGAAACTACTCCGGTGAATAATGTCGCTAAAAATCATTAAAATACCGAATATCGGAAGGTACCGTTATATGGGGGCTATATGAAAACGTGGACCTGCACACACAATTTTCTGTCTTAGGCTGTAGTATGCACTTAGAACTTCGAATGCCAAATTTGAAACAATTCCGGTAAATAATGTCGCATTTACGAACTTAACCTGCCTGCTGGAAAAATAAACATGTGTGCAAAATTTTAGACTTCTATCTCAATTCGTTCGAAAGATAGCGTGATTTCAACAGACCGACGGAGAGACAGACGGACATCGCTTAATCGACTTAGAATTTTACGCTGATCAAAAATATATATATTTTGTTGGGTCTGACATGAGCATTACGAGGAGTTACAAATGGAATGACAAAGTTAATATACCCTCCATAGTATGGTGGAGGGTATAAGAAAAACAGTTTAAAAAGTATCGGTCGGTTTTGCCGACAGATTATTAACTTCATGGATATTCCAAATGTTAACCCCTTTGTGGGAGAGGTACCACATGGTGTGGATCGATATATACCATATTCACAGCAGATCTTTTGTTAGTAGCGGTAATGGGATGTGTGAAATATTAAAAGAACCCGATGCTTATTTCGGATTTTATAATCGTTTTGGTGGTTCAAAATTTAAAACTTTTGTGGGGGAGGTACCAAAAGAAATGGTCCCATCTGTACCAAATTTATAACAGATTCTTGTGTTGATGGTAATACTGAGATGTACCAAGTCTGAATGGAATCGGATGTTAATTTCGCGTTTTATGAGCTTCTTGGATATTCAAAATAAACCTTTAAGCCTTTGTGGGGTAGGCACCAGAAGGCGTGAACCGATATATCCCAATTACACACCACATTTTGCGTTGGACTTAATATTGGGAAGTGAGATGTTTGAAGACAATCGAACACTTATTTCACATTTTGTAAGACTTATAATTATTCAAAATTTTGACCCGTTGTGTGGGAGGTACCAGAAGTAGTGGACCGACATATTCCGTCTTTACCCCAGACCTTGGGTTATTAAAGATATTGGGATGTACGAAACTGGAAGACAATCGGACTCATGTTTCACATTTTGTCAGACTTATAATTCTTCAAAATGTTGACCAGTTGTGGAGGAGCTACTTGATATGGTGGGCCCACAAAAATATTCGCATTTGCAAAGTTTGTACGAAATCGAATTATCATTTCTCATTCTATGGGGTAACCTAATTTCTTTGAGGGTAGACCGATGTTACCCATCTCTGAACTCGATCTTAGTATAAAAATAATATTACGATGTACCAAGTTTGGATCAAATCGGATACTCCCTTTACGTTACGGACGGATAGACATCCCTAGATCGATTCCAAATGTTCTGAAATAGATTTGGTCGAAAGAGGTCCTAGGGTCTAAAACCATGTCTTCGATTTGCATTTTTAAATTCGTAATGGGTACTGTGGGCCTGTGACAAAAAAAAAAATACCTATGCAGGCCCCGGTCTTGGTATTGCCCCCATATAGGTGTACCTCTCTATATTCGGCGTTTTGATGATTTTACGAAATTATTCAACAAAATTCTTTCAAGTTTCGTATTGGATTATTGTAGAGGCCTATGATAAAATTTCCCAATGCAGGTCCACGTTTTCGCATAGCCCAAAGTATAACAGTAACACCCTATATTCCGTATTTTTATACCCTCCACCATACATAGTACGGAGGGCATATTAATTACGTCATTTCGTTTGGAACTCATCGAAATAATAAGTTTAGACCAAACAAAGTATATATATCCTAAATTCTAAATAATTTAGCCCTGGCCGTTCGCCCGTCTGTCTGTCGTTTGGAATCACGCTCGAGTAAAAACGAATTTAGATAGGAAGCTAAAATTTTGCACAGATTAGTCTATTGTGTGCAGGCAGGTCAAGTTCGAAGATGGGCTATATCAGTCTACGATATCGTATAGCCCCCCGTATCCCCCCATTATTCGGTGTTTTAATGGTTGTAGCCAAATTTTTTAATGAAATTGTCTGAAAATTCACAGAAGGAGTTCCTCCGGTATATCGTATATCCCCCATATAACGGTATCTCCCGATATTCTGTATTTTGATAATTGTAGCCACATTTTTTAATGGGATTGTCTGAAATTCCACAAAAGGAGTTGCCTCTCAGTACTTTACTCCATGGAAGAGAATTGTCCATACAGGTCCACGATATCGTATATCGCCCATATAACGGTCTTTTTTATACCCTCCACCTTGGAGGTTTGTTCCATCCTTAAATATTCGTCGTAGACCCCATAAAGTATATATATTCATAATCAGCATAAAATTCTAAGTCGATTTAACGATGTCCGTCTGTCTGTCTGTCCGTCTGACTGTCTGTCCGTCTGTCTGTTGAAATCACGATACAGCCCACATTATTTGACGTAGAGCGCCAAAATTTAGCAGAGCAATTGGTATTGTGTCTAGGATGGTTGGTATTGAAAATGAGATATATCGGTCCACGTTCTGGTATAGTCCCCATATAACGGTACCTCCCGATATCAGGTATTATGATGATTTATGCCACATTATTTAACGGATTTGTCTGAAAATTGGTATTTGTAGGTCATAACAGGTCCCTGTATGTGTGGCAAAACATAGCATTTATAGGTCCACGTTTTGGTATAGCCTTCATATAATGGTACCTCCCGATATTCGATATTTTGATTATTTTTGCCACAGTTTTTAACGGATTTGTCTAAAAATTGGTATTTGTTGGTCATAATGAGTTCCAGCTCCGGTGGCGAAACAGTGCATGTATGGGTCCATGATTTGGTGTAGCCCCCATATAACGGTACCTCCCGAAATTCGGTATTTTGATGGTTTTTGCAACATTTTTTCACTGATTTGTGTAAAAATTGGTATTTGTGAGTCATAATGGGTCCTAGTTCGTGTGGCGAAACATTGTATGTATAGGTCCACGTTTTGGTATAGTCCCCATATAACGGTACCTCCCGATATTCGGTATTTTGATGATTTTTGACAGATTTTTTCACGAATTTCACTAAAAATTTGGTAGTTGTAGATCATAATGGGTCCCAGTTCGTGTGGCGAGTCATTGTAATTATAGGTCCACGTTTTGGTATAGCCCCCATATAACGGTACCTCCCGATATTCGGTAATTTGATTATTGTTGCCCCTTTTTTCACGTATTTGTCTGAAAATTGGTATTTGTAGGTCATAATGGGTTCTAGCTCCGTTGGCGGAACCTTGCATGTGTAGGTCCATGATTTGGTAGAGCTCCCATATAACGGTACCTTCCGATATTCGGCATTTTAATGGTTTTTGCCACATTTCTTCTAATGTTTCCTTTACCGTAAGGTGGAGGGTATTAAAAGTTTGGCCCGGCCGAACTTAATGTTTTTTTACTTGTTAATTTTAGCCAAATTTCCCAATGAACTCGTCTGAATATCCACACAAAGAGTTCCTTCTGGCTACTTTACCCCCTCTAAGAGAATTATCTATATAGGTCCACGATAGTCTCCACGATAGTCTCGTCTCCATATTTGGCATTTTGAAGACTTCAGCGACACTTTTGACCGGACTGGTTTTAAATTTCATATTTAAAGTTTGAAGCTCGTAATGAGCCCGAAATTTGTCTATGCCGGTCCACATCTTGATAAAGCCCACACATAAATTATTCAAGATATTTAACTATTAGAGATCCTTCAAAATGGTGGAGAGCATTGAAAGTTCGGCCCGGTCGAACTTAGTTGCTTTTTTCTTTGTTTGAATTTTATCAGTATTTTCCAGCAGATTTTTTTGCAAATCCTTCCAAATGGAGGGGGGGTGTGTCATTCAAAGTTCGGCCCGCTCCGAACTTACTGTCTTTTTACTTGTTGATTTTGTTTCCCCTTTTTGGGTCATAACTTACCGGATGATTTGTTTTATTTGCTGTAGCCAAATAAATCATCGATACAATTTGACGTTTTCTCAAATTGTAGCAGATTTCTGCCAAGTATTCATTGTTGCCGTCTGGTGTGGGTCGAGCTAAAATATATGACACCAAAGAATTTTCACACCACGAATAGTTAAATGATGATTCATATAGATTCCATTTAACGGCCTCGCATGAAAGTAGGAAATCATTATGATATTGATCGCCATAATAATTGCGATAATTCTCGCTAGTCGGCGCCAAGAAGCCACTATCCTCACATAAGAAATTGTGCGCTAGGTAGCTATCTACAAAACTGGGACTGAAATGAAATAGTTATTTTGCCATATAGAGATTTTCATATTATCGATTTTACCCCGATGCGAATTTCTCTTAAAATCTGCATCAAAATTGTAACTCACCTGGCAAATCGGGTGTCACAACTTGCTGCAATTTCTTCACCAACTGTAAGATAAATTCGTTCCGACTCGTCCAATACATCAACATAGTGGGTACCAATTTTTTTCTGTATTTTTGGTCGAATCGAAACATCCGCTGTAGGTAATTGTATAGAACAGGAACTTTCAACACCAGCTATAGCAAAGTTGGCTATAACTGCACTTAGAACAATTATATTCCAGTTCATGCTGCACCGATGGCAATGTAGATCTGTCAAAGCTCAAAATAAGACTAATCTGAAACTGCTCGACTAACGGATATTTATTTGTGTTCTGTTGGAAAAATAAACATATATTTCTTACTAGAAATATATATGTATAAGCTTGGATGTAGATTGGCAGGTACAGTTGCAGAAAAAATAATAGCACCAAAATTCACACTTATTTGATTATTTGATTCAAAATTTCAAAAAAAAATGTTCTAATGTATTATGTGTACCGTTATAGGCCAGGTCCCGAAGCAGTGGACCCATACCGGCAAACGCCATAATTTTTACATTTTTTTTTAATTTTATTGAATGAAAGCCAAAATTGTCGGAAGTAGAATCAAATTTTAGTATAAATTTAGATTTGTTCGAATTGGTCATTTTTGGCACGAATTATTGCCTTCGAACGGCCAATGAAACCGTCACACGCTGCCCGAATGTTGCTCTGCGGTAATTTGACCCGGCGAAGGTGATCGACACTTTGGTATTTTTAGTGCCAACCTTGCTTTCCAAAATACTCCAGACACAATAGTCCAATAGATTTTGGTGGCCATTGTGCGCTGGAAATGAAGCGAGGAACCTCATTTTGTAACTTTTCTTGGGTGGCGCGTGCTGAGTGCGATGGTTCTGATCCCTGTTGGAATGTCCAAGGTCTGCGGCCCAAAAGGTTTGCTTGCCCAAGGCTTTAATACACCCTCCAGAATATTTTCACGATAATATTCGGCATTTATTCTGATGCGACGGTGCCACGAGCGGAGAGCGGAGAGCGACCATCGGCTGTTATGGCGACCCACACCATCTTCATGGCCGGCGCTTGAGTTCTGGTGGCCAACCAAAGGTCCACATTTTTAGATGACCTCTTTGGCAAGTAAACACGATCATTTTTGTTTGCCATCGGATTCTATTTTCTTTCTGTTGCGGTGTAAGTTCTTGATTTTTGGAATTTAAATGGCTTTACCCCGAGCTCATTTTCACAATATTTGCCGAGTGGAATATTGCGATATGTTCAGCTCACTAGCCATTTTTCGGCCACTGCGACGCCAGTTTCGATCAAGTCGCTTCTTTACTTTTCGAATCATTTCTGCTGATGTTGCTGTTTTTTCCGTCCACTTCGGGTTACGCTACCAGTATCACGGTAACGAGCGAAGGTACGGGACACAAAAGATTTATTCACATTTAAATGTTGGAGTGCTCTAACAATAGCCACTTGTGGTTTTTCAGCTTGAATTCCATTACGAATAGCTCTTTTTCAGCTGCCGAATGAGTGGAAACTCCTCTTGGTTCTTGCAAAATATTCTTAAAAATTATTTCCCTTTCGATCCTTGAAAAAAAAATATTCTTTAAGAATTCAAGATTATCTCCCTTTTGGTTCTTGAAAAAAATATTCTGTAAGAATTCAAGATTATTTCCCTTTTGGTGCTTGGATTTTTTTTAAATCTGCGTTTATTGTTCTGAAGGTCTTTGAAAAATCCGTGATTATTCGTGTTTTTGTCTTTGAAGTAAAATTTTTAAAACAATCCTTGTTTATTGAAAATTATGTTCTTGAAAAATATTCTTTGAAAAATTTATTGGGCTTTGGGTCCTTGAAGAATATTCTTTGAAAAATTTATTGGGCTTTGGGTCCTTGAAAAATATTCTTTGAAAAATTTATTGGGCTTTGGGTCCTTGAAAAATATTCTTTGAAAAATCCACGTTTATTGGACATTGGGTCCTTGAAAAATATTCTTTAAAAAATCCACGTTTATTGGACATTGGGTTCTTGAAAAATATTCTTTAAAAAATCCACGATTATTGAACATTGGGTCCTTGAAAAATATTTTTTTAAAAATGTTCTGGAAGTCCTTGAAAAATATTCTTTAAAAAATCCACGTTTATTGGACATTGGGTCCTTGAAAAATATTCTTTAAAAAATCCACGTTTATTGGACATTGGGTCCTTGAAAAATATTCTTTAAAAAATCGACGTTTATTGGACATTGGGTCCTTGAAAAATATTCTTTAAAAAATCCAGGTTTATTGGACATTGGGTCCTTGAAAAATATTCTTTAAAAAATCCACGTTTATTGGACATTGGGTCCTTGAAAAATATTCTTTAAAAAATCCACGTTTATTGGACATTGGGTCCTTGAAAAATATTCTTTAAAAAATCCACGTTTATTGTTCTAAAGGTCCTTAAATTTTTTTTTAAAAAAACACGTTTATTGTTGTAAATGTCCTTGAAAAATTTTTTTTTAAAAAATCCACGTTTATTGTTCTAAGGGTCCTTGAAAAAATTTTTTTAGAAAATCCATCCTTGAAAAATATTCTTTAAAAAATCCACGTTTATTGTTTTAAAGGTCTTTGAAAAATATTCTTTAAAAAATCCACGTTTATTGTTCTAAAGGTCCTTGAAAAATATTCTTTAAAAAATCCACGTTTATTGGACATTGGGTCCTTGAAAAATATTCTTTAAAAAATCCACGTTTATTGGACATTGGGTCCTTGAAAAATATTCTTTAAAAAATCCAGGTTTATTGGATATTGGGTCCTTGAAAAATATTCTTTAAAAAATCCACGTTTATTGGACATTGGTCCTTGAAAAATATTCTTTAAAAAATCCACGTTTATTGGACATTGGGTCCTTGAAAAATATTCTTTAAAAAATCCAGGTTTATTGGATATTGGGTCCTTGAAAAATATTCTTTAAAAAATCCACGTTTATTGGACATTGGGTCCTTGAAAAATATTCTTTAAAAAATCCAGGTTTATTGGACATTGGGTCCTTGAAAAATATTCTTTAAAAAATCCAGGTTTATTGGACATTGGGTCCTTGAAAAATATTCTTTAAAAAAATCCACGTTTATTGTTCTAAATGTCCTTGAAAAATATTCTTTAGAAAAATCCACGTTTATTGGACATTGGGTCCTTGAAAAATATTCTTTAAAAAATCCAGGTTTATTGGACATTGGGTCTTTGAAAAATATACTCTAAAAAATCCAGGTTTATTGGACATTGGGTCCTTGAAAAATATTCTTTAAAAAATCCACGTTTATTGTTCTAAATGTCCCTGAAAAATATTCTTTAAAAAATCCAGGTTTATTGGACATTGGGTCTTTGAAAAATATTCTTTAAAAAATCCAGGTTTATTGGACATTGGGTCCTTGAAAAATATTCTTTAAAAAATCCAGGTTTATTGGACATTGGGTCTTTGAAAAATATTCTTTAAAAAATCCACGTTTATTGGACATTGGGTCCTTGAAAAATATTCTTTAAAAAATCCACGTTTATTGGACATTGGGTCCTTGAAAAATATTCTTTAAAAAATCCACGTTTATTGGACATTGGGTCCTTGAAAAATATTCTTTAAAAAATCTACGTTTATTGGACATTGGGTCCTTGAAAAATATTCTTTAAAAAATCCACGTTTATTGGACATTGGGTCCTTGAAAAATATTCTTTAAAAAATCCAGGTTTATTGGACATTGGGTCTTTGAAAAATATTCTTTAAAAAATCCACGTTTATTGGACATTGGGTCCTTGAAAAATATTCTTTAAAAAATCCACGTTTATTGGACATTGGGTCCTTGAAAAATATTCTTTAAAAAATCCACGTTTATTGGACATTGGGTCCTTGAAAAATATTCTTTAAAAAATCCACGTTTATTGGACATTGGGTCCTTGAAAAATATTCTTTAAAAAATCCACGTTTATTGGACATTAGGTGCTTGAAAAATATTCTTTAAAAAATCCACGTTTATTGCACATTGGGTCCTTGAAAAATATTCTTTAAAAAATCCACGTTTATTGTTCTAAAGGTCCTTAAATTTTTTTTAAAAAACCACGTTTATTGTTGTAAATGTCCTTGAATTTTTTTTTTTTAAATCCACGTTTATTTTTCTAAAGGTCCTTAAATTTTTTTTAAAAAACCACGTTTATTGTTGTAAATGTCCTTGAAAAATTTTTTTTAAAAAATCCATGTTTATTGTTCTAAAGGTCCTTTGAAAATTTTTTTTTAGAAAATCCACGTTTATTGTTCTAAAGGTCATTGAAAAAAAAAATTAAAAAATTCACGTCTATTGTTGTAAAGGTCCTTGAAAAACAAAATTCTAAAGGTCCTTGAAAAAAATATTTAAAAATCAACATTTATTGGTATCTTTAAAAGATCCACGTTTATAGGTCTCTTGGTCTTTGAAAAAAAAAACTTTAAAAAATCCACGTTTTTTGTTCAAAAGGTCATTAAAAAATTTTTTTTTAAAGATCCACGTTTAATGGTCTCTCTTGGTCAAATAGAGTGAAGTGTGACATTTCCGAACGAAATCAGTCCGGATCCTTCTTTTTGATATATATTGCGGTTTTGTTTATATTTCCATTTTTTTTTTTGCTTCATATAGTGCTATTTATTTTTCGAGACTGTATATATGTCAGTGATCACATAGTCTGCTTTTTTGGTGTCCAGACATATTTTCATTATCACAACAGACATTGCATATGGGTCATTCCTTAAAGAAATTCCACACAATCTGTTTATGCCCTCAGTCATATAGCTACAGTGGATATACGGGGTGAGAAGACAAAACTGCACCCAACTTCAGACTGCTGTCATTTCTAAGCCACTCGTACGACAGCTGTTAAAATTATTCCAGTGACAGCTCATTATATTGTTTACAAGCATACATAAAGCATAATGGTGAGAATTTTCCGGAAAAAAAGTTATTCGTGATGGAATTCAAGCGTGATAGTGTGATTTCATAATATTTGGCAGGAAAACCAAAGGTGGCGATCGTTAGAGCACTCCAGAATTTAAATGTCAATAAATCTTTTGTGTCTCGAACTATCATCGCTCGTTACCGTGATACTGGTAGCGTAGCCCGAAGTGGACGGAAGAAAACAGCAATATCAGCAGAAATGGTTCGAAAAGGTAAAGAAGCGATTTGATCGCAACCCACGTCGTAGTGGCCGAAAAATGGCTCGTGAGCTGAACATATCGCAATATTCCATTCGGCAAATATTTAAAAATGAGCTTGGGGTAGAACAACTGAAATTTCACAAAGTGCAA